AGCAAGTGGGTGTTTCGCCCGGAGTGCAGCGAGGGTTGCCGAACTGGGTTCAGCGAGTGGGCTGGTGCGTAACGCCGCAACCGCCTTCGAGATATTGCCCTTTTTCATTAGCCCTTCGGCACGTGCACAAACACCTTCGTCGTCCGGTTGGTGTCGCAGCGGGGCTTCGGTATCGGGGATAGTGCCAGCTTCCTCGAAAAGTCCCTCCCATTTCACCTGCTGAAATTGCTGCAGCCGAGCCTCAAATCGAGCCCAGCGGCTCCCAATAACAGGTTCGGGAGAGGGTTGTAGTGTAAGCCTCGGTAGGAAGAGAAGAATCTTCCACACACCTAGGCACGTGGGGAACTTCTCCAGCCTCAGAAGTGGCGCCAGCAGACAGAGGCTGTATTTGTCTAGGATTTGTGGAGGTAGGCGGCGAACAAGGAAGGGCTGGTCACTACGTTGCAGTTGCTGCATATCCCAACCCCCAGCTTCTTGCCAGATGGCCTCATCCTTCGCCATGTCAGTAGGCGAGAAGACATCCGTCGCATCCGTTGCTCCACCTGTATCTCCCACAGCTTGTTGGTTCTGCCCATCCCCCCTCGACCCTCTTCCCCGTGTGTTGGGTGCATTCCTGTCCACCCCAGTTTCCTCCTCCAGGGACACCTCCTTAGATTCAGCTTCGTCACCACACATAAATTATGGGTCGCCACCGTTGTCCTCAGAGCCCGCTGCTTCCTCCTCATTCGTTGGTGCTGCCCCCGGCACTGGTCTGTCATGGCGTTCCCGCCAGGTGCCAACTCGCACAGGGATCTCAGATCCCCCCACCAGGGCCCTTCCCCCTCGCCCTCCGCGCGCTCCCCGTGCACCGCCCCCCCGTTGAGTCCTCCCCGCGCTTGTTGGCGCTCTTGCCACCACGCTCGTAGCTCCACGTCCCGCCGGCAGCCACGGTGTCCGACCTCCGCGGGGCGGTCCCCAGGTTATTGCCGCTCCTCGCGTTGCGTGGCGGGTGTTGTGTGCAACGGCATTCGTGGTGTTTGGAGCCTCAGCGTGCACTGCCGTTGCTGGTGTTACGTTGGGAGCGGAAGCGTCCCGGGAGATTCTTGGCGGGCAACTTCCAGCCTCAGCCTCCTCTCTCACCTCTCGCTGGCTCACCGATGACGACCGATGCGCTCGCTCAGATGGCGGTTGCCTTTGCAGAAGCCAGCCCAGGAGGGGTCCCGGGGAGCCAGGTCCTAGCCCTGCTCCGGGCCGTCTCGGCGCTGGCTGGGCACGCAGCTTCTTCTTCGAAACCGCCCGTGCAGCGCTGGAAGAAGCTCCGTTCGCAGGTCCCAGAAACTCACCCTCCGCCTGGCCGCGCTCCTGCCTGTTTGCGGCCGCGGCAGGTACACGCGTTCCGGCGCTCGCAGCGACAGGCGTCGCGTCAACCTTTGACGGGGCTGCGCCCTGCTCCCCAGCCGCAGCAGACACCACTGCCGCCAGCACAGCCGTCGTTACAGGCGCCGGAGACGCCGACAACACCGCCTCCGCGGTCTGCTCCTGATCCACGCCCGGGCTTGGCTCCTCCGCCTCCTTCTGTGCCGCCCGTGGGGCGGCAGCGTGTGAAGTTGAGCCGCTGCCAACGGCAGCGGCAGAACCGCCGGCAAACACAGGGTCCGCCACCGTCTCAGCTGCAGTCGCAGCAGCAGCAGCAGCTCCCTCAAGCACCAATCCAGCCGCCCTTCTGGGCACCACAGCGGCCCCCAGCACAGTCCCCACTGCGGCGTTTTCCCCTACCCTTCCAGCCGCTACCACCTCGTCCCCCAATGCCCCAAGTTCCCCCGTCGCACTTCCCGCACGCCTCGAGCCCGCCTCCTCCCCCTGCCTTGGTTCTTGGTGCGCCCCCAACTCGCGTCGAGCAGCGCGTGATGCACGTTGGGACGTGCATGACACTCCTGTCATATGTGCTCGACCAGCTACACGTGACACTGGTGCAGCAGGAGGTGCAGATCGAGGCGATGCAGCCGGCGGAGCAGTCGGCGGCGGTGGCGGTGGCGGAGGAGCTGTAGCATTACCTCCCCCTGATTGGCTATGTGCCGGGCTCTCCTGGGGCTGCCCTCGGGCCCGGCCCTGGAGCTTTGGCGCGGCTTGCTGCTTCGGCCCGGGGCGACCCGCTCGACCTTGTTGCGGCAGCCGCGTCCGTCTTGCGCTGGCTAGACGGGAGGCTGTGTTGGATCCTCGTTGAGTAGCGGTAGACTTCCCCTTGCCAGCCCCCTTTGTAGCAGGTCTGGGTTTGGGCTTCCCCATGGCGGTGTACTCATGCCCGGGGGTGTTGTTGTACCTGCCGTAGATCTATGCCTCCTTTTTGTATTGCCCCATGTTGACCTCCCAGGAGCTTACTCCCTTGCCACACCTCACGCGCGGCCGTAGGCCGCGCTGGCGAGCGGCGGCCGCCGAAGGCGGCCGGCGCGAGCCGCCGGTTTTGGAGAGTAAACTGAACTCACCAGTGAATAATAAGCCCCATGGGCGGAGATCTAGGGGCTTTATACTAGGAAGAACAGGCTAAAAACGGCTAAGGACAGGAGACTAGGCTAGAGAGGCCTAAAAAACGGCTAAGGACTTGGAACTAGGCCATTCCTCTCTCTCTCTCTCTCTCTCTCTCTCTCTCTCTCTCTCTCTCTCTCTCTCTCTCTCTCTCTCTCTCTCTCTCTCTCTCAGCCTTCACTGTTCTGGATTCGCGCTCCATCTCATATTTGAGATCGTGTGTCGCTCTCACATCTCGTTTAACTCATTTGGTGTTGCCACTTCAGATATTTGCCCACCGATCTCAGGACCAGCCTGGGGATTCGGACCAGCACTTCTCCCCTCCGTGAATCCCGTGGCGTCTTCGCCAACACCCACCCTTCTACTCACCTCCATTGCCACGTGTGCTGCCGCTTGTGCCGGTCATCTCCCCCCCCCCCCCGTTCTGATTTCTCAACTGCCTACTCTCGTTTATTTGCCATGGAATTCCCACTGCCTGTGTCTACTCCCCATCGCATGGCCGCCTTGGGATTCGCTCTCACGGTGAAGCATCTCGTGGGTCTCGCCGCGCCATCGCTAGCACCGTGTGCCGCTCATCCACCCAACAATTGTGCGGATACGGAGCCGCACTGAGTTTCGGTACAGCACTTCTCCAATCCGCGGATTTCACCTCATCAACGCCCCTCCGCACGCTTCGCCGAACCTCTGCGCCCGCGTGTGCTTCCTAGTGTGTCGCAGTGTGAGTATTAGCGATGAGTGGAAGGCGGTTGGGGAGAAGAGATGGGACTTGGCAGTGGGGCATTGGGTATGAGTGTGCATTGATGCGGCTGATGCGTGGTGCCTCATCACTCCTCCCCGTTTTTATATCGCCTTTGATATTCCGAATTCCTTCAACATCCATGTGCTCCCCATTATCCTCCATGTTGCCTTCTCGTTTCCCCCGTCACTCGCTCCCAACCGTCTCCCCCTGCACCCCGCTCCCTACGGTTCCCCAATCTCTATGTTCTCCCCTTCGTATTTACTCAATGACAATATTCTCCACATGATCGTCCACAATCATATGCGGGTGTGTGTGTGTAATTGTGTATGTGCGTGTGTGCACGTGTGTGTGTGTGGGTGGGTTGGTGTGTATGTCGGCTGTATTTGCAGGTACTCCAAGTCCTTCGTTGTGCATCTTCCATCCTCTGGCCCATATACTGACGCCATCACCTATTACGCCAACCCGCCAACACAACAATCGTGCGCTGCCCTCTCCATCATACATTCCTCACCTTCTCCCTCTTGTCCCATCTGCATCGCGCTAATATCTCCTTATTTGCGCATCCAATCGATAGCCTCCTTCCTATATTATCTCGTTCGTCGACGTGTGATTCTAGGGCCTTTCTGTGACTCATGCTTCCTGCGTGCATACCTCCCCTCTCGTACTTGATATTCAAACTCATGTGAACATTCCCCACCCCATCACCACCGCACACTTCCCCCGCCCGCACCACATCTCTCTCTTCCTGCCCCGATCTACATCTGCAACGAATTCTCTCGCGTTTTGTTTGTGTGCCGGTGTGCGTGCGAGTGCATGTGTGTGCATGTGCGGGTGTGTGAGTGAGTGTGTGTGAGCGTTGGTGTTTGTGGAGCTGTGTGTGGGCATGTTTATGTGTACCCGGAGGTACTCCGGGGCCTTTGTCCAGTATCCTGTCTCAGATCCGCACAGAGTTTCGGTCCAGCACTTCTCCAATCCGCGGATTTCACCTCAACAACTCCCCTCCACACGCTTCGCCGAACCTCTGCACCCACGTGTGCTGCCTAGTGTGTTGCAGTGTGAGTATTAGCGATGAGTGGAAGGCGGATTAGAGGGGAAGAGAGGGGACTTGGGAGGGTCCATGGGAAAAGGAATGGGAGATGCTTATTTCTCTTGATTTGCGCATCCAATCCATAGCCTCTTCGCGACTTTCCCCCGTTCTTTGTCGTGGGACGCTACCCCAATGCTGTGATTCATGCATCCTGCTTCCACGCCTTTCTACGTCATCTGCGAAATGGTCGAACAATCCCATCGTCCAAAACCACCCGCCCTTCCTCCGACCCCCCACCCACACCTCTCTTCCTGCCCTCAAATTAATCTGTTAAAAGAATTCGAGCATTGTGTTTGTGCGTATGTGTCTGTGTGGGAGTGTGTGTGTGTGTGTCCATGTGTGTGTGTGCATGTGTGTGCGTGTGAGCGGAAACTGTTTGCGTGTGTGTGTTTGTGTGATCCTGTGTGTGTCTCTGTGTGCGTGTGTGTGTGGGACTGTGCACATGTACCGCACATACCTCCACGGATTCTGCCTTTTTGCCTTTGATATCACAGAGCCGCCGTGTAACGTACTGTCTACATGGACAACAGGGCCGACTTCGAACGGCCAGCTGAGAGTGAAGGGTTAGACAACGACATCATAATTGCTGAAGAGTCAGACACAGGTACTTCATTCGCGCTGGTAAACGATCGTACAGTTGGCTTGCAATCATGTAGCAGACATTCCATGGCCTTAATGTCGCGCATTGCGTATCACTCCCTGCCATGGACAGGAAGTGCAGAGAGGAGGAGGGAGGGAGAGGCAGAGGCGTGTGTGTGCCTCGATTCTGCTCCTAGTGGGGTTAAATTCAACCCCACTACACTCACCCAGCCCTCTCTCTACTCTCACGCCGCCCTTGTCTCCCTGCCATGGACAGGAAGAGCAAAGAGGAGGAGGGAGGGAGAGGCAGAGGCGTGTGTGTGCCTCGATTGTGCTCCTAGTGGGGTTGTATTCAACCCCATTACACTCACCCAGCCCTCTCTCTGCTCTCATGCCGCCCTTGTCTCCCTGCCATGGACAGGAAGTGCAGAGAGGAGGAGGGAGGGAGAGGCAGCGGCATGTGTGTGCCTCGATTCTGCTCCTACTGGGGTTGAATTCAACCCCACTACACTCACCCAGCCCTCTCTCTACTCTCACGCCGCCCTTGTCTCCCTGCCATGGACAGGAAGAGCAAAGAGGAGGAGGGAGGGAGAGGCAGAGGCGTGTGTGTGCCTCGATTGTGCTCCTAGTGGGGTTGTATTCAACCCCATTACACTCACCCAGCCCTCTCTCAGCTCTCATGCCGCCCTTGTCTCCCTGCCATGGACAGGAAGTGCAGAGAGGAGGAGTGAGGGAGAGGCAGCGGCGTGTGTGTGCCTCGATTCTGCTCCTAGTGGGGTTGAATTCAACCCCACTACAGTCACCCAGCCCTCTCTCTGCTCTCACGCCGCCCTTGTCTCCCTGCCATGGACAGGAAGTGCAGAGAGGAGGAGGGAGGGAGAGGCAGAGGCGTGTGTGTGCCTCGATTCTGCTCCTAGTGGGGTTGAATTCAACCCCACTACACTCACCCAGCCCTCTCTCTGCTCTCACGCTGCCCTTGTCTCCCTGCCATGGACAGGAAGTGCAGAGAGGAGGAGGGAGGGAGAGGCAGAGGCGTGTGTGTGCCTCGATTCTGCTCCTAGTGGGGTTGAATTCAACCCCACTACACTCACCCAGCCCTCTCTCTGCTCTCACGCCGCCCTTGTCTCCCTGCCATGGACAGGAAGTGCAGAGAGGAGGGAGGGAGAGGCAGAGGCGTGTGTGTGCCTCGATTCTGCTCCTAGTGGGGTTAAATTCAACCCCACTACACTCATCCAGCCCTCTCTCTGCTCTCACGCCACCCCTGTCTCCCTGCCATGGATAGGAAGTGCAGAGAGGAGGAGGGAGGGAGAGGCAGAGGCGTGTGTGAGCCTCGATTCTGCTCCCAGTGGGGTTAAATTCCACCCCACTACACTCACCCAGCCCTCTCTCTGCTCTCATGCCGCCCTTTTCTCCCTGCCATGGACAGGAAGTGCAGAGAGTAGGAGGGAGGGGCAGGCAGAGGTGTCCGTGCATTATATCCCTTCATCTGAAACCCGTCATTATGTCCCAACACTCATTCTTTTTTATTATATATTTCACATTCCAAATATCGCAGATATGGCTGGTGATCGCCCGTTCAAGTGCCCAGGTTGCCCAAAACGGCTTAGCACCTACGGAGCACTTGTCAGCCTCGAGTGGAAGCACCGCAACACGTCTGCTGACGATGCGCTGTTTTTGCCCACCACTCGGACTTTTGGTGCTGGTCGGGGGATTCTGGTGGAGGAGCACGTACCTTATGTTTGAGTGGAATCTCCATTACTGCCACCGATGGAAGGGGTGAATGTGGTAGAGGATAGCGATGACTGTTGTGCCAACACATTACAGTGGCACGGTCATCGCACTCCCATTCAGCCTACAAGCCTGCTCAGCTTCTGGAATTTTGTGGGGAGGTTTTTCAACATGTGTTATTCAAACCCTCAAAGTTTCAGAGTTTTTGAAGCAGTTACTAAGGCATGACAACATTTTATGTTTCAAGACTTATGGCATTCTGGAAGTGTGTGTTACTCCTTTTTGGTAACACCCGAGTTCACCATTTCGGCTGCTGACTCGTCTACCGAGATCTGATTGGTCTGAAATTCGGTCTGGCAGTCCTTTGCCGCGTTGTACAGATGGTCACCAAGTTTCAGAACGATTCAACATCTAAGCATTGCGTGACAGCTGCCGAAATTCACTGTTCCGTGGTTATGGTGCACTGTTGGCAGCATTTCCCTTGCCACCCTTTCATTGTTGTCATGCCAATGGTGCAGGGACAGAGAATGAGACAAGAAGTACAGTTGGTCAAGTGGGAATCTACAACCCTCCTTTTGAGAAGTGTGGTCTTCCTGGAAGCAGCTTGCAAGAGGGTGCAAGTGGGAAGACAAGCTGACTCATGTTGGCTTGACTCACTATTGGTAGCCTTGAGTACAGCTCTGAACATCCAAGTGTGGTTGGCTTTGCTGACCTAGCTAGGAGGTTTCCCATTCTTCTCTAGCCTTTCTCCCCTAGGACTCAACCTTCTCTGAGTTCCCAGGATGACCCAACTCCTTATGATTCCCCTAGGCAATGTTGTACTTACCTCTTCCTTGCATCAATGAAACTACATGTTTTAAGCCGAGCTTACGTTTTTGTTCACTGCGTAGTGCACACACCTTTGATAATAGCAAATAATATACCGTTGGAAAGCAAACACCTAAGGTTAACGGCTGTCCAAGTTTCAGTTTCGTATGTTTCCGGAGCTGATCGTGACGGCGTTTTGAACAGAGGCGGTTTGAAGACGTCAGATTCTGCTTGGGCGGTTTCATGGGCATCCGCGACCTCTAAGTGGACTCTTGGCTATAACAAGTGGTATCAGCGCTGTTCTACTCTGTTCGTGGGTGAATATGGAGGTTGAAGGTTCTGCTCCAGCTGGTCCTAGTGGCAGTGGTGGCGTGAGAGGCGCTGGGGAAGCGGGAAGAGGCGTTGCAGGCGGATCTGCATCAATGGCTTCCGTTTCAACATCAGCTAAGGATGATGTGAAGGCATTCAACCTGGAGAAGTTCTCTGGGGATGATTGGGCATCATGGAGCTTCAGGATGGAGCTCCTCTTCAACCATCAGCAAAGCTATGGTGGTGGTGCTTGAGCGACAACTCCATGCGGTAAAGATCAACGAGAATGATGCCGTGCAAGGAGCGTTCGATCAACTCCGGGACCTTTATGTGAAGCTCTCTGCTGCTGGTGTGGACTACCTTGAGAAAATCAAGTGCTACAAGGCTCTCTCCCTGCTGCCGGAGTCGTGGGGGCCCTTGGTGGTCAACCTTAATGGCATGAAGGACTCGTGGTCCCTTGAGTGGATTCGCGCGCAAGTTCTTCAAGAGGAGTTTCGGAGGAAGGAGCTGACCGCCGCTGCCGGTGAAGGTGGAGGCCCTGCCTATGGCATGAAGGGCTTCAAGGGGCGTGGCAACAAGAAATGGAAGGCCAAGGAAGGCTTTGGAGGGGAGCAGCATTCGGGAGGGAAGCGTGGCAACAAGGGAGGCAAGCGGTGTGGCGGCAAATGTTGGTATTGCCATGTGGAAGGTCACCCATGGTTTAAGTGCCGCAAGTTACCTGACGGTTGGAGGCCTGGTCAGCCATCACTTGAGGGCTCCAAGGGTGTTCATGGAGCTATGTGAGAAGGCGTGGGCAGTGAGGAGGGCGATGGAGGTGCTGGCGGATACGGCGGCATGTTCTACCATGTAGGAGAGGCGTGCTCCGAGGACATGGTTGTGCCGGCCAGCAAGGTTGCTCTTCACCGCTCCTCCCATTGGGTCATCGACACGGGAGCCTTCATGACCATGACCAACCGAGAGGATCTACTGGATGAAGTTAGGCCATCAAAGGCAGCCACCGCCGTTTCAGCCACCGGCCAAGTTGTACCCGTGCGTGGCGAGGGGAGAGCCATGTTCATGGGTGCGGATGGGAGGCTTGTGGGGCTGAAGCGTGTTCTCCTTGTTCCTGGATTGTGTGCCAACCTCCTCTCTACCAAGGCCCTAAGTGAGGCAGGGATGAAGATGGAGATGTTGGGCACAAAGGCTTTCAAGGCAACTCTGGATGGGCGCGTATTGTGGGACCTCCGAGGCGGCAAGGACATGCACCGGTCCATGTGGGAGATACCGGTGCTGCCATGGAAGGAGGCGGCTGCGTGCTTGGCTGCTGGAGATGTGAGAGGAGGGCGTGTTAACCACGTGGACAATGGAGGGGGTGGTGATGACAGTGATAGTGGGCTCCTTGGGCATGGAGGGGCTGCGCTTCCAAGTGTAACTCCTAGCACGGGTGAGACGGATTGGCTCACCGCACACCGTCGCTTTGGCCACGTGGTGCTACCTCAGTTGCAGCAGCTGTTTAAGGAGGAAAGAGCCCAGAGGCTGAGGATAAAGGGAGAGCCCAAGGAGGTGGGATCTTGTGAGACTTGCTTGACCAGCAAGTTTTCACGGTTTCCCTTCCATTCGGTGGAGGGGAAGTCGAGTGACCCGGTGGAGCTCGTGAATGTGGATCTCGTGGGACCCATGAAGGTGAAGGGAGATGGTGGGGCCCTGTATTCCATGACCATGGTGGATGACAACACAAGGCTCACCTGGTCCTTTCCACTTGTAAAGAAGAGTGATGCTGCAAGGGTCATCATTGAAGAGTGGCTGCCCATGGTGGAGCGAGAGAGCGGCAAGCGGGTGAAGGCGATTTGTAGCGACCGTGGTGGGGAGTTCTTGGGAGCGGAGTTCCGGAGCTGGCTGAAGCGGCACGGAATCAAGCAGCAGCTCACCACGGCCTACACCCCTCAATCCAATGGCGTGGCAGAGAGAGCAAACCGGACCATCTTGGAGGGCGGGAGAACGATGTTGGTAGACTCGGGTCTACCCTTACGATTCTGGCCCCTCGCTATTCGCCATGCCACCGTCATCAAGAACCGAGTATTGACTCATGTGGGAGGGCAGCATTGGGTCCCTATGGAGAAGAGGAGAGGCAAGAAGCCCCTGGTGGATATGCTTCGAGTCTTTGGGTGCATGGGACTCGTGCACGTCCCTAAGGAGAAGCGTGACAAGCTTCAAGCGGCGGCGGTGTGGGCTGTTCATTTGGGACTTGCACAAGGGAGCAAGGGGTGGCTCATGTGGGACCCAAAATCCAACACCATCTTCACCACCAGAGATGCCAAGTTCATGGAGGGGCTCATGTTCAAGGAGTGGTTGGAGCGAGGGAGGAGCAAGGTCACCATTCCGCTCGGAATAGAGGTGGGAACGAATGACCCACTCCTCATTCCCATCGAGTTGTCTTCATCTTCAGAGGTAACGGAGGTGTCACATGACTTGGGAGGTGCTGAAGGGGAGGCAACAGAGGTGGAAGGAGTTTTGCAGCAAAAGGAGGCCCCTGTAGCTGAGAGAGGTGATGCCGGGGAGGAGGTGCAGCAGCCAACATCATCCCCTTCACTTCCATCAAGGCGGACAACCCAAGGGAAGCGTGGTGCTGTCCGCGGTGGAGCTAAGGAGGGTGCAGCCAAGGAGAGGCCCAAGAGAGCTGCTCACCCAAGGGATTTCCTCAAGTATGAAAGGCTTGGGGGTCCCAAGGCATTGCTGGTCCAGGAGGAGGAAGATGATGAGAAGGGAGCCGAGGGAGAGATGGAGCAGATTTGTTGCTTCGGTGTCAACTTACCTCATGAACCGGCTTCAATGGAGGAAGCACTTGCTGGAGATGATCAAGAAGCTTGGTTGGTTTCAACGGAGGATGAGTTTCAGAGCCTCATGGAGAATGGAACATGGACCCTCACTTATCTGCCCCCTGGAAGAAAGGCATTGGATTGCACGTGGATATTACGTGTGAAGACCGATACGGAGGGGAAGTTGGAGAGGCGCAAAACAAGACTTGTGATCAAGGGTTTCCAGCAGAGGGAGGGGGTTGACTTTAAGGAGGTGTTTGCTCCTGTTGCCAAGGCTCCTACGCTTTGGGTGTTGCTGGCAGCAGCTGCCGTTTGTGGTTGGAAGGTGGAGCAAATGGATGTGAAGACAGCTTTCCTCTATGGCGTGGTAGATGAGGAGATCTACATGAAGCAGCCAGAGGGGTATGACGATGGGAGCGGACGTGTTTGCAGGCTCAACAAGGCCCTCTATGGCCTCAAACAAGCTCCAAGGTACTGGTATGCAAGGCTGGTGGAGGCTTTGGAGGCTCTTGGCTTCAAAGTCAGCGGGTGCGACGAGAGTCTCTTCATGACCGAGGAGAAGGAGGAGAAGGTGTTTCTTCTAGTCTACGTGGATGACATTCTCCTCTTCTCTCCATCACTAGAGAGGATCAATGAGGTGCAAGGGAAGCTGAAAGAGACCTTTGAATGCAAGGCCCTTGGACCAGTGGGGTATTACCTTGGTCTTCATGTGGAGCGGGACGAGGTGAAGGGATGGTTGAGGCTTCACCAACACAAGTACCTTGCAGCCATGGGGGAGAGGTATGGGCTGGAGGAAGGGAGGAGTGTGAAGACTCCTCTACCCTCAGGGTTTCAGCTACACCTTGAT